GATTTGATGCGAGATCCCACTGCGTGGTTTATGTTACAGATAGCATTGTGCTGAACTTGTTGCTAGTCAGCTTCATGACCAGTACAATATAAATCAAATGATGGTGTGTATTCAATATACTTTATATGAGAGATATAGAGTGCATTCCCTGAATCTTCTTTCCTCATGCTAGCCATTGTTGGCCATGCATATTCCCATTGTTTCGCACCAAACAAATTGTTCCTTGGTTTACAGTAAAGGTATATGCAAGCCATAACTGATACTTAATTTCCTTTGTGGCTGCTGGTGGCTTGAATCATGTGTTTTAAAGAAGTGGTTCTCAACCTGTGTAACCTCAGGGCCCACATTTGTCCTCAATCATTAAGGCGCGACCCCAGTCGCACTGCAATAGAACGCACAGCATTGTGGTACCGTGCATTCCAGTAAAGGTGATGAAACTGCGGGTGGGAGGTAGGTTTGGGATGCCATTCAAACGAATAGCAATGCAACGCACCTCCCACAACTCAACGCATGGTAGGTGCGATTGCGTGGTACATTTGTGTTAATCGCATGGGACTGTACTAGTGTGAACCGGCCCTCAAAACCACTGACAGACACATATAACCACAAGCACAATCTCACACACTTGAAGACATTCTCAGACACACATATACACTCCAAAAACATTTTTTTTTTTTTTTAAGATACACTCAGTCTCCCTATCTTATGAGAACTGAAGTGGATCCTCAGGCTGGGGTCCAGTGTGGGCTGCTGTGCTGTGATGGAGCTTTATCCATATGTGCATTGCTTGTACAACTCCCATGCGCGCCTTTAGTGGTTCCGGGAGCCAGAATGTAATGTCAATTCGGTCCAGGCACCTCTACAGGACACGTTAGGGAGCTGTAAACATTGCATGTATGGATGGAGCTCCCTCACGGCTATAGCCCCATGCCATCACACCTCAAGCTGACACTTGGCGCCGGGCAGCATATTTGAAATGGCTGCTCGGTGCGAGAACTGACAGTGCTGTGCTAGGGGAAGGCTGAAGAGCCTCTCACCTAGAAAAGTAGAAGGCATGCAGTGACCCACTAAACGCGGGGTCACGACCCACTTTTGGGTCAAGCCCCACCAGTTGAGAACCAAGGTTTCAATGTACAGTATATGTCAGGGCAAAATTAAAAAAATCAGTACATGTTCAATGCATGTACATTTCCCAATGTTTTATTCATTGAAAGACCTAACAGTACAAAACAGTATATGTTGATCTGCCAGAAATGCACTCCATTCTCTCATAGGCTGACAACACACAGCATCTTTGAGTGGTGTCAGACCTAGTGGTTGCTAAACTACACAAACCAATTCCCTTTCCTTTTCTCTAAAACATAGAGACGTATAATCTCCTCCAGACATAGGTCAACGATGATTGATTCACTCAGCCCTGGGGCCCTTCCTGGGAGCACTTATAGGAGGTTCTCCTTGAGCTGATCTTTGTAGGGGAAGATCTTTCCATCCTCAGGTCCCTTTACTTTTATATGCTCCTAATTGTACTGTGGTATGTTTCCAGGTGTGTTTTTTCTAATACCCTTTTTTTTCTATTTCCTATTGCTATGTATATTGTATTGAAAAATCTTGAAATAAAGAATATACAAAAAAAACAAAAACATAGAGACTACTCAATATGTAGCACCAACATAACAACTAGGAGGGCTAATTAGACTTCTTGAAATAACACAAGAGAAAGACATACATACTGCCAGAGCCAATTTTTTTGTACACTTGATCAATGCACATTTTAGCACATTTTAAATGAAAGTAAAGGACATCGGCCAGAAAATTGTTGCAATTACAAATGTTTAGGCATTCTCATGTTTCAGGTGTAAAATATGTAAATTTATCTGGAGTTAATTTTAATCACTTTCACTGCCACTAAAAATTACGAGTCATTGTGTGAGTTTTCGTGAGAAGATGTCTAGACTTACTGTGACAGATAAAGAATGCCTGCATTGTTACATGAAAGGAAAACAGTTTTGTGACCTCGAGCCTTTGCTCTCTCTCTTTGCTGTGACGTTACTGCTCTTCAGAGCTCCCGGCTGTTCAACAACTGCAAACTTTAAAATTGGAAATTTCAAATGCAGATTTGTTTTAGTATTTAGCAACAAATATAATTTTCAGAATGAGAGTGATATATAGCGATTTAATATTTTCAGACACATAGTTTGCTTCTTGTAAAGTATCCTAGCTAAAAAACAAAAATCACCTTTTCCTTTTTTCCATCTTTTAAAAGAATTGGCATTAAAATAGACTGTATTGCAGCAGTGGATGCATTCACCAACCCAACACTGAAACTACACAAAAGCAAATGATATCCTGGGTTTATCATAGACTAAATAGATGCCACACTTAAAAGTGAAATATTTTGAAATAAGGAAGAATGCTTTATTGAAATGCTTGCACTGGACATTCGACAAATTGTTAGATAGTTCAGCCTGGTTGAATATAGTGTATGATTTATTTTTTTTAAGCCCACAACTATTTTCACTCAGTACAATAAACTGTAAGTGGTACACAAAGTAACCACTCATTGTGTCATTTGATATGCGAGTTTGTGTGTTGAATAAAGGCATAGCCAGAAGTTACCTTCTGTGAAAACTGCATGTCTAAATGAACTAGAGATATATATCTGATGCGATATACAGACCTGTTATCCTCTATAGTCAAGCTTAGCTCCTTCCTCCTGCACCTCAAGGCCTCCATTCATATTAAAGGATCAACAGAAAGACCAAGGTAGGAGGCTGCAAGACCAAATGAAGGGAAATCTGAGATTCTAATTTAAATTCAGCTGCCTATATCTTTTGGATTTGTTGATTGCGTTGACATGTGATTTTCTCTCAAGGTCACCGCTGCTTATGTATTTTTTTTTTTATCTTAGGTTAAATTGTTTGAGTTTGTGGTAGGTTTATACTAAGGCTTGGTCACCAGTTGTTATTCTTGATATTATATATTCTGAACAGTTGGAAATCAATTAACTCAATCCATAGCATTTCTGGTGCTATAAATAACTTTCTTTTTGCTTTTATTTATGTTGCTTACCTATGTATGACAAACACAACAAAAACATACAGCACTAGATTTTTAAAATAAAAATATATAAAAATTAAACCCTCCACTTCTTTATCGGAAATCATGTGTACACACTTACCATTACCAATTCTATACCCCCATCAGTGCCTTAAACCAATGTGCATAAAAACATGAAACAGAAAATCTAATAAAAAAATATACAGTGTACAAATATTTTCTGCCTGTCCAATATTATTAAATATAAAGTGTCCTTGGTTGTGAACAATTCCACTTCAAACACAAACGGGTCTATTCACTAAGCTGCCGAGGGCAGCCGAGTGAACAACCGACCCCAAATGAAGTGAGCCGAACACTTCACTTCATGCTGGTACGGCTGATTTCAGACGTATATCGGCTGAAATCAGCCGTACATCGTCTTGCTTCGCATGGCTTCGGGTCGGCCGAACATGCTCAGCATGTTCGGCTAGAAAACGATTGTGCGGAGCTAGCAGTGACAGCTAGCTCCGCCCAATAGTTTCCTATTGTCCGGCAACTCTGCTGCCGTCAAAAAAGACAGAAAACTCTCCCGAGCGCTCTGGAGAGAAACACTGCTTTTTCTTTTTTTTTCACCATGTTCGGCCAACCCTAAGGGCAGAAGGAGTTCGACTCAGCCGATCCAACATCTGGATCGGCTGAGCCGAACCTCCGGCAGGCTACTCACTGCTGTTCGGCCTATTCTTATAGATGCCGCACAGCAGTGAGTGAATAGCTCTGCGGCATTCGGCTTGGCTGTTCTGCTGGGTCCCTCAGAGGGACCCAGCAGAACAGAAAAATTGTTTAAAAAGTTTAAAAAGTAAATCAAACGATTGGGTGGAGCTAGCAGTGACAGCTAGCCGCGCCCAATCGTTTTCTATTGTCCGGTGGCTCTGCTGCCGTCTGGCCTGAGCCAGCCATAACATCACGGCTGGCTCCGCCCAGCTGTCAGAATCAGGCTGTCGGGCGGCCGCTCGTCCAGCTTCGGCTTTTAGCGTTCGGCTCGACTGAGCCGCTCGGCCACGTTTGGGAGCTGTGCAGGCTATAGTGAATAGCCCGTACAGCACCCCTTCGGTTCTACTGAAGCTAGATCCTTCGGCAGCTTAGTGAATAGACCCCAAAGTGACCATGTGAACTTCCACCAAAGTGTCTTCCTCTGTCCAATCCCAACCCTTTTGGCAAGCCACTTACCCGCTGCCGTATGACCCCTTAAAACAACACCTGGGTAATATCCAAAAAAGAGAGCACTCCGTACTTCCTCTTTAGTACCACCACACAATCAACCATCCAGTACATAGAGTGTGAAAAGAGAAGCTCATAGTATAAAATACCTTTTATTTTAAAATAGCTTAAAAAAAAACAACTTATGTACTCACGAATATAGTGCTCTAAACCTGCACTAGTTACCCCAAGCTCAATCCAAGTGCTCCAAGTGCAGATGCTTGTTTGTGTGTTCAAACTCGCCCATCATAAACATCATCAGGAACAGCCAAGGCCACTTTATATTTCATAATACTGGGCACTTAGGACATATTTGTGCACTATGTTATTTTATAAAATTTTCTGTTTCATGATTTGATGCACATTGATTTAAGGCATTGAAAGGGGAATAGAAATGGTAATGGATTTGTGTACACATGGCATGTGATATAGAAGGGATTATAGTTTTGTTTTTGTTTTTTTTAATTCAGCGCTGTATATTTTTGGTGTTTGTGATTTAAATATTGTCAAGATAGTTATATTGAAGCTGGTAGTGGTCTATGCACTTTGGGTAAGCACAGACATCCGGCATAGTATTTTTACCTATGTTTCAACCTTTGTTTGATTTTTACTACTTTTGACCTCTTTCATACCACATTTCCTACTTTTTGTACCATTTATGTGTTGTTTTAGTCTAAAGAAAACCTTGTAACATTGTTTTACTTTAGGGATTTTTAGCCAATCAGAAGCGGGCTGAAAACTTGAAGGACCCCTCCGTGTTACCAGATTTGTGTTTGAGCCATGCAAATCAATTAATGATTATGTTAACAAACCACAGAAAACTGCTGGACATCAAGCAGAAATGTACCACTGCCAAACAGGAGCTTGCCAACAATTTACAAGTTCGACTAAAGTAAGTCTGTTTCTAGAAGTATTACATTCATCTTGCTTACTGTTCCTTTATTTATGCCGTTGTGTGCTGTTTTGACAGCTTACTTTTTGCTTTTTATCAAACGTCAGTTTTTAAAGTACAACTTAATTTTGCCATACACTCATAGTCGCTTCAAACCTCCAATCCCCACTTCTCTTCCCCAGCCTGTACCGAGGGGAGCAATACTGCAAGCCCCCAGGGGAGGATTAAGTGACAGGCAGGATGGTCTTGGACAGTGGGGAGGATTCAGGATAGCGAGGGGAGGAATCGGTAAATATATCTTATATCTGTATCACAGGAACGGAAGAATAGTAAAAAGAATAAGAGTCAATGTCAGAGACTGCTAGGCATTGCAAAAAAACTACAAGAAGTAAGGGGGTAATACCAGCTTCTGAGGCCAAGGGTGTTCTTATTTTTTGCACAGTTTACTTGATGCCATTTTAAATTAATATTTAGTATCATGAACTTTACTTATTTAATAACAGTATTAAATATAATAAACAATGTAACTGTGGTTAAAGGTGTCATTAAAAAGTGGGAAACATTCTGTTATGAAGTACATGGTGGATTTCACTTCTAACTGCATTTACGGCCACACTCTTAAATGTCTACTTTTTTTCCTTTTACTGCCTTCTTATTATGTCATATGTTATATTGGTACTAATACATAAATGTGTTAAATTACTATATATTGGTATTTTATGCACCCCTTTTCTGTGTCTTGGTGGTTGTAATGTATTGCAATGATTGTTATATGTATAATACAGGTTTCTGTTCACATAAATTCCCTAATTGTTTTTTATACCAACATAAAACCTGCCTTATTAAAAATATAACTTGCACAGTATGCAAAAATATTTTATACAGGTTAAAGAGGTTTACCACAAAGGATAGAGTTTTTTTTATTTTTTTAATTACATGTGTTTTTAAAGGAAAAACTTGTTTTAATGTCTTGGATGGCATATGGAAGGGTTAGCATCTTTGTGGGGTCTTATTAACCCTCTCTATTTGTCCTGGAAAAAAAGGTTTGGATTTAGATATACTTTACCAGTTTGTTGGCTGCCAGTAAACATGTAGAGCAGTATAGCAAGAGTATGTGCCATTTGATTGATGTATGGATGTGTGGGGAAAACTGATGATCACTCAGGTGGGATAGCTCCAAATCAGATAAGCATTTATTGCTACATATGCAGGGGAAGTGACATCTGTGGTGTCTCAAACATCAGTCCCCCTGCATATGTAGCAATAAAAGCTTATCTGATTTGGAGCCATGTCGTCTGAGTGGTTGTTAATAAACATCTCTATTCATGGTGTCATTAGGATGAACATGCTCATTTTAGGTGGTCAATAGAGAAGCAGGAATTGTTTGAGTGCTCTGGTGCCTACCTTTTTTTTTTGCATCCACAATAATATATTCATCCAAATCCACTATTAAACCCTAAAGTTATGGGTGCTCTTTTAGGGGTGAATTACATTTCTGTCTTATGTCAGCCTTATTACAATGGTTAAATAAACAATGTATGTGTAGAGCCTAGTGAAGCCTCTTGTTACACAGACTTGCTCAGAAATTGAAGAAAAACTTGTGTATGGATAGATCTTGTGACTGAAGTCTTTCTTGCTTTCCAGGTGGTGCTGCTTTGTAATGCTGCATGCTGACCAAGATGGGGAAAAAATTCAGGCTTTGTTCCGACTTTTAATGGAGCTTCTTGAAAGGGTCAAAATAGTTGAGGCGTTGAGTACAGTTCCTCAAATGTATTGCTTGGCGGTGGTTGAGGTCGTCAGGAGGAAAATGTTTGTAAAACACTACAGAGAGGTGAGTGGTAAAAGTCTTTATTTGTGACAAGGAAAATGGAGTCTTTCCTTCTGGCTCCAGAATCTACAGTAAGTGCACCATGCTTTTGAAATAAGACTATTGAGCATTTTCTCCTGGCACTGAATAAAGTATTTAGAAGAATAGTCATTAGTTTTAAGGCTGATTTTATAGGTTAGGATAATTTTAGGGGTTTAGGTTGGGCTAACTTTAGGGGGTTATGTTATGTCTTTTGGCTTGGGGGAATGGCATGGGTTAAAGCTTGCTTAACTTTTGGTGGAAGTTTATGGTCTTTATAAGAAATAAGTTAAATGTTATGGATAGGATGGGTTAAGTGTTGGGTAGGTTAAACTAATTTTCAGTGAAAGACAAGAGCCAAGTATTTGAATGTGGAACTATTAAGTGCATCAGTGTAGAGTATGAAGCTATACCATTTACATGTAAAATGTGCAGCAGTGGCTTCACTTAGAAATTCAGAGAAGGTACACAGATAAACACTTGCATGTAGCAGAGATATGCACAGTACTATTGTCTGGTTGCCCTCTGATTAGAACAGACTCCAAGGGCTCATATGTGTTATCAGTCAGGTTTTTATATGATATAGTAAACTGTAGGAGCCGCACAACTAAGAACCGTTCGCCATATATGAAACAGGCTTCACTATAATTGTTATACATTTTTCTTTAGATAATAACTTGTACCATGGGAATTAGATGTTTAGTTATTATTTTAAGCTGGTTAGGTGACATCTTGTTGAGTAACACAATTGTTTCATTTATACCATCTTGGATACTCACTAATTGAATCTAAGGAAAAGAATCTGACAAAATATATGTATGGCAAGCATTAGCACAATTCACAGACACTTTTAAAAATACAGGAAAAGCAGAGAACATTAATCTTAGTGGTTAATTTATAATAGTTTGAATGCCGTTCGCACAGCACTATCACCCCTAAATGGCGCAGACTAGGAAAGGAACTTTTATAAGTGAATCTTTTTTTCCATTCTGACTTTCAAAAATTAAGTGATAGGCAGAGCCAGCTGTCACTCATGCAGCTGGGCGGATCCAGACATAATTGTCGGGATCCGTTTCAGCTGCGGCGTCTCAGTATATATACTGAGCTTAGGATGATGGGAGGACGCAAGTTTGTGTTCTCCCGTTACCCTTAGGAGAACTATGTGGAAAAGCCCTAACCCCATAGTTCTCCTTTAAGCGCAACGGAATTATTTGTGCTTGGCGCACCTTGATGCCGAAAGCGTACCTCTTAGCGCAACGGAGATTTGTGCGCACAGCCCAAGTGAATTCCCATGACACCTGCTACTTCTTCCTTTTTCCAAAAACAATTTTATATTGCTTTCAGTATTTAATTATTTCATGTATTTATTTATATATTTATTACAGGTATTTATATAGCACCTTACATACTGCACATTCACATCAGTCCCTGCCCTCAAGGAACTTACAATCTAAGGTCCCTATCTCAAATACATGCTATTAAGACTCTACTTCTTCAACTCAAGGTTAACCCGTCCCCAACGTGATCCCTATTCAATCAGAGGGCACGTATTGGCCAGAAAGTGCAGCATATAGATGTCCATATTCAGGAGGGGCTGTATAGTATGGATTCTCTCCAACAGTGTGACATCATCTTAATACTTAACTAAATAACTATTGCTATAAATAGATATTTTATATGCTGTAGTAGAAAGAAATGTATTTTATATTTGTTAAGTAAAAAGATTGAAGCCTGACATTGTAACCATTCTGTATGCTTCTTTAACAGTGGGCAAATGCTCTAGTAAAAGATGGAAAATCGCTTTATGAAAATGAAAAGGCAAAAAGGGAAACATTTGGGAAATTGTTTAGTAAGTAATGTATAATATTTATTATGTAGCCCCTCTCAACGACTCACAGCACTGACTCTCATTTTCACGTTTGTACATCATGTATTGAATTCATCAATTTTTCAGAGCATGCTCCCAGTATGTAGTATAGCTCTATGATTATATGGCTGTTATCAGCAGCTGCACACCATGGAACGGAGGCAAGGAGCCAATCACAGTGGTTGCTGGCAGCTAACCTCTGTGATTAGACACTTTTTAAACATGAAAGAAACAGTTTTAACACTAGGATTGTAGTTAATTTATGCTGGAATATACTTGAAATGTACTATTTTTTTTTTTCTGGGGACAAAAAACAGGATTATATGCCTGGGGACAAAAAACAAAGTTAAACGTCAAATCTACTAAGCACTGTTATTTCATTGTTGCCGGGTTGCCAGGTTGCCGGTGTCAACATTTCAACATATTGGTTTTCTAAAGCTTTTGAGAACATTAGTAGCAAGAGATCCCACCATAATTCACTGTTCCAGTCGACTGCTGCTCCTATTACAAATCCATATTATTATGCCACTTTCTCCTGACAGATTGTACATAGTGTAGAATTAGCAGTTATAGTGAGCGAATATCTTATTAGATTATGACTCTATTATTATGACCTAGTTAAATGTGACGGACACAGAAAGAATGCTGGGACGGACACCATTGGTATCTCCAAGAGTTATAACAAAAAGCCAATTGTTGATTCAGCCCGCCACCCATCACATACCCATATTTAAGTTCTGCCCCACCCATCTCTGCCTTCCATGCCTTATATTGGTCAGTGAAATAAAGGATCTATAGAGGGTAATGAGATGGGGGCACCATTTTACATTTGCATTTCCACCCATATGTTATCAAAAATCAAGGTTTTAAATAATGTCTTGGATGGGTTTTGCAAAATCAAATTACAACTGGAACTTCAACCACCTTGTGAGATCTTCTACTATTCATGTAGCCAAAACTCAGCAGTAATGCAACTATAAATAAGAAAACATCATCATGAAAAGTGGAGGATGTTTTCCTATAACCATATTCTTTTATCTTCTTTACAAAAAATTAAAACCTTTTATTAAAACTAGCTATCAATTTAGCAAATAATCACATAGAAAAGTCCTAAAGAGGCTTTACTTAATCATGCATTAAAGGATACAGGACTTTTCAAGTGCATTTGGTTATATGCAGCTGCCTCCAAGAGACTGAACACTGGCAAACATAGTCATTATAACCTCTCCTATTCCCAGCATACCTCAGTTTTTTGCTGGTGTGTTTAGGAGAATAGACGTCTTCTCCGCAAACCATTTCTACCTTTTTTTAATCAAGATTTTTTTTTCTTTTAGCAATTGTCTTCAGATGCTTTAGAGCAGGGGTCTCAAACCTCCGGCCCTCCAGCTGTGGTGGAACTACAAATCCCATGAGGCATTGCAAGATTCTCACAGCCACAGACATGACTCCCAAAGAGAGATGCATCATGGGATTTGTAGTTTCACCACAGCTGGAGGGCCGGAGGTTTGAGACCCCTGCTTTAGAGCCACTGGGGCTCATTTTGCAGTTTTCTGGATCGCCTGATCCTCGGCATAGTTTTGAGGCCATACCTAGATGTGTAATGTGCCCCTGTGTACTGGACTCTGCCTAAGATGCTCTCCTAGAGCTTGGGAATAAAATGATTGATGGCAGAGAAAGCAAATAACTGTGAGAGGGGGGCCAACGACAGTACGGATCGGGGGAGAAGTGATTGATTCATGATGCAGATTGTTGAGACAGGAAATGAAGGCAAGCTCAAGATAGCTGCTGCAGATTTAAAGGGCTATGCTGTAGAAATGCAGGTTTGCAGGGAATTGAGAGTACTCCATTTCAACACAGGCTACAAGTGAGGGAAAAAGGGTAAACTGGAGTTCAGATTTAAGGATACTGTTATGGTCCTTATTGATGTAGTGTGCATGTGCCTTGACCTGGAACAACCTGTTAGCCACACCTAAGGTTACCAGCCTGGGTTCCCTTAAAAGCCCCCAGCTTCTTAAATCTTGTCCTGTGTACTCATTTTTTACAACAGTTTTGTACAGTGACTGGCCTAACCCTGAAAGATGTTTGACTCCTCCTAATCATTTTGACAGCAATACCTTATTGAGGAGGGGTCCCTTAAAAAGTGGGCCACCCCTATTGTGGATTCAGCCATCTCATGTCTTAACAGGACATTGACTGTTCCTGTAGAGGACATTGCGATAGAGGTTTCCCTCCGCTGGCTGGATGTGGTATGTGCTGTTCAAGTCTAACTGTTGGATACAGTTTCTTTCAGACAATCTGACACTTTTTTGTCACTCCTGTAGGTCCCCGCAAAGGGCAACCTGCTTCTCATTCCACTATATACTGGTGGATTTGGAAGCTCATCATTCTGGCTTATGGATTTAAGGTCAAAGTTCCACCTCTCCTTGTGAAAGCAGGCTTCACTAGATCAGTTAGTGCTTCTTGGGGTTTTCAGGGCCAGACATCTATTTCCCTGATTTGCAAGGCTGCCACCTGGTCTTCTGTTCACACATTAGGTTCAGCCAGGTGGATGTTCAGGCGTCCTCTGATGCCATCTTCGGCGGTAAGGTTCTTCATGTGGTAGAACATTAAGAGACACAGGTCCCTCCCCTTTGTTCTTAATATTCACTCCTGCTATTGTTTACTAACAAAACTGGAGCATTATGGGAGTAGGAGGTTTGATATCAATATCCAATGCTGCACACTGTAGAATGTGCTCTGATTTGGGGGTGCCTTAAATTACTGATGAACAACTGAATCTTTAAATAAGTGTCGGGTTTATTTACAAATAGGAATATACATACATTATAATTACAATTAAGGGAATTTGAAAGGGGAATTGGGGATAGGAATTGAGGTTAAGGATCCTCCAGCTAGCTACACCATTCTCTCTCTCTCTCAGTCACACATGCCATGGGTTTTTCTCTGCTCTCAGGACACGCCTCTCCAGCAGGTTTCAGCGAATCACATTCTTGATTGCAGAGTTCAGAAAGACTTGTCTTGTCCAAAGGTCTTGCTGGTCAGCTAGATTAGTGTCACACAGGAAGAAGGTTCCATCATATGCCCCTACCCCCATCCCAGCATATATGCCTTGCTGACAAAGGTGTGGACAGTAAATACCAGCAGGGGGTCGGGCTTGCCCCAGGACATGACAGTCTAGCAGATCTCCTTTTGATCAGTGTCCAGCCCCAGGAACCCTTTAATGGTCTTTATTTGCATATCAAACAGCCACGGGGAGTTCACGATATCAAGGAACCTTTCCATCAAAGCTGTATCATAGATGTAACACACACTGATTACATTTCAAACCATCATTAAAAACCATAAAAAAACTGCCTGTGTTCTGCTTGTCATGTTTGTATTTAAAGAAGAACTATGGGGTCAGTGTTTTTCCCCATAGTTCTCCTTAGGGTAATGGAAGGACACAAACTAGCGTCCTCCCGTTACCCTAAGCTCAGTATAGCTCACGATATACTGAGACACCGGAGCAGATCCCGACGTAGATGATGGGATCCGCCCAGCTGCGTGAGTGACAGCTGGCTCTGCCTATCTAGAGGCAGAGCCAGCTGTACCCGCCCCCTCCCCTGTCCGTTCCGCCAGTCAGTGCTGGCAGATCGGAGCGTGGAGAGGGGAATCCAGCCCCTCCCCCTGTCACGGCAGAGAGCCGTGACAGGATCGAGAGGTGAGCGAACCTGGTATGTGTTCGCTCACCTCCCGATCTACTGAGCCGACCTGTGACAATCTCATTGTCACAGGTCGGCTAGAACTATGAGGTGAGTGGAAATCACTCATCTCATAGTTCTCCTTTTAACTTGCCATTTGATGTTTTAAAAGCCATTTGAGATGTATAAGCATTTGTAAACTGTACAGATCTTTATTTATGTGTCCATGGCATCAGATTTATTCAGTATTTTCTAATTAATTTTCTTTCTTTACAGGGAAATCTTATTTAAGAAATCGTCTCTTTCGAGGACTTGACTCTTGGCCTTCATCTTTCTGTGTATGTACAACACTGTCTATTACAAAGCTAGGCAACTTTGATACTCCAGCTGTTTTCGAACTACAAGACATGACTCCCAGAGGCAGAACATGATGATGTTCGTTGTTTCACCACAGCTGGAGTTCCAAAGTTGCCTACCCATTGTCTTTTACTTAGTCTCTCCTTTCATATAGTTTGGTGTTAGTCATAACAGTTATTGGTTACCTTAGTAATTTGGAAACGTTAATTTACCAAGCACTTTGGCATGTTTGTCAGCCATAATAAATTACTGACTCTGTGAACCTTACAGCTGTACACAGAACAAGAAATACAAATGTATTCTTTGCATTCACACTGAACCCAATACCACTTATATGTGTTTGGAAGTGAACAACAAGCTTTTGCTTTTGGTGTGTGTTTCTCAGATTGAGTACTAATTGTTTTGAAAGCTTTTGTTTTCAGCCCATTGCATAAGCCAATAAATGGTACTAACTCTAACACACCTGAGCAGACCTAGAATTGAAAAGCTTATCATAAATTTGTGTTATTTTTTTTAATTATTTATTTATTCTCTAATATACTACTGGAAGGTAGGTCATATCTAACCAATGTCTATATAATAATCTCAATACATTTTATTTTGGATTTGTTTTGTCTTATTTAGACTCGAAAGCCAAGGAAATTTGATAGTGAGCTTCCTGATATATCTGTAAATGACCTCCAGTTTTTGCAGTCACTTTGTCCTCCAGAAGTGCAACTTTTCCTCAGGTAATGTCTTGACTTTTCATATTTCTTGTTTATCTTGTTTTGGAATCATAATCGTGCTTAAAGTGTAAGTGCACTTATTACAATTATTCTCCTGACCTAATGATCCCACTCTTGCCCTTCGCAGACCCGAGGGACAATCACATCAAGTGCTGCAAGTCTCCCTCTCCTGACCACTTCTATCTCCCGGCTGGGAGACAGCCCCATTGAAGTCTATAGGGCTGTAATATGCAGGTGTGCCCTGCCAAGGGAGCATTGCAGTGCTAGATGTATTCAATAGTGGGACCCTGTCGGATCTCCGTAAGTACAGATCTGTGTAGGGAGGTATTGTTTAGGTCAGGGGTTGGGAGGGAGGGAGGGAGAGAGAGATCCAGGGGTAGGCACCTCACTATTTGTAAGGTAAATGCCTGGGTACTTATCCACAAGAATATCCATACAAATCCTAAGTAGGTATAGAGGCACTTATGGATCACACACAGACTGAGATAGTTACTTATATGAGTGTAATTACTATTATATATATCGTTATGAAGGTAGCTAATTACTCCTTAACTTGGCACTTATAACTAAGCTTGTAACTTTTTTCATTTTAGGTACCACTTAGTCTTAGGAAAATATATTTTTGTTTTTTGCGCTGAACTTCTGTCACTCCAACTTCACTTCTCCAACTCTTTTTATAGATTTTCTGTGTCAGTTTATACTTTTGGTTCTAACTCCACTCCCCCAACTCTTTTTATGGATTTCGTGTGTCACTTTTATACTTTTAGTATAGGGCCCAGCTTTTATTGGTTTCCTCCTTCAAAGCCCCTCTTGTAGTTTTACTCTCTCCCTCAGAAAATAAACTACTGTAGGAGCCTGCTTCAAAAAAACCTAACAAGATTCAGACATTTCAAAAATCCCTAAATTTGTACTTCATGCTTCTTTTCAAAATATAGTCCATTTTTCATACTCCTATTCATATTGACATTTCATATTGCTGCAACAGTGAGTCATCGGAACAAGCAGGTGGTGACCTGGATGAAAATAAATCTTATTAAATTAAGGCTGCATTCAAACTCAGCACATACAATGTCTGAAATTTGAAATATTGTGCAGACCAAGTTGAATCCCATATCACTTTAGAATAGTGAAAAAAAATTACTGTTTCGTCAGTGTTCATTCCTATTTCAACTCCAATAATTTTACCTAGCAAAGTCTCTTGGGGATTAATGCAATTGTCCATTCATTATAAAGCTCAATAAAGGCATTTAATCACTGACTTTGGCAAGATTTTGATCGTGTTTGTTTCTCTCCACTAACAAGCACTTGTGATTAATAGGAAATTGATGACCATAAATTATGGATAAGCAATGGAACACATGTTTTTAGAATTGTTTTGTCTTGGTAAACGTGCTGAGAATGAAGTTGGGCATTCTTATTTTGAGTACAGTGGTGTTTCATAACATTGTTTAAATGTTTATGCTTACACTGATTAAAAAAGTAACTTCTCTTAGCAGCAATGTGTCAGCTACAAAGGGATACTATATTTTTGCTTTTAAAACAGATTACATGCACAGTAATAATGATGTCCTCATATATTGCTAATGAGTAGCTTCTTTTATAGCTTCTAAAAAGATAACTTTAAATCCCCGTGCACACCAGGGCGTTTGTAGCTTGTATTTTTCAGAACAGAAAAGCTCAGCACAAAAATCCTATCGAGTTCTATAGTCCCTGTTCACATCTCAGCACACTGTTGCACTGAGAAAAAAGCCGGTCGCTGGAAAAAGGTACACAAGGTTATTTTTTGGGCAGATCAGCACGATTAGGAATAAGAAAAAGGTCACATCGCACTGATCTCCCCAAAAAGAGGCGCATGTTTCACAGGCCTTGTGCGGAGATTTTCCGTGCTGACAAATAAGAGTTACAAACGCCCTGGTGTGAATGGGGACTAAATGTGGAATCTATTTTTGTAATGTTCTTGTACACAAGGAAGTAAGGTTATCTTTTGTGTTTTTCCCCTCAGGGTACCCTTACTTTGTGATTTTGAGCCTCTGCACCAGCATGTCCGTGCTCTCCACAACCTGGTGAAAGCTGCACAAAGTTTGGATGAAATGTCTCAGACTATTACAGATCTGTTAAATGAACAAAAGGTGTAGTATTTTGGAATACATGTGACATGTATTTGTAGTGTAATAAAGCCGACAGTTTAAAGTATATAACCCTTAAATAATGACTAATGTCATTGCTTGCTAAAATTATAAACAATTGCTATTTCTTCTTGGGGAAATACTCGTTTTCACCTTTTTTTATTTGCATCAGAGCTGCTTATCTCTTACATCCTGTTTACATGCATCCAATCTAGTGATGGCTATGTGGCATTTCTCAGGGTCAGTTTTCTGATGGTGATAACAGTGGAACCATACATGTGTAAAGTATGTTAAAAAAGGCACTTGTAACCTCCATGGGAATACTGTTGGGCATATAGGGAGCACAGGAGCACAACTGGGAGACAAGGACAGAGCGTTGTAGCCCTAGAATAGGAATTGCCTGTACAAGAACCTTCATGGCAGGACACCAAGTATTATTTTAAAGTTGCTGATTTAAAAATATTAAAAGTTACTTTTGACATTACATTACCATGTTAAAGCATAGCATGTGTAAGATTTTAGTAATTGGATTTACATTTACTTTAAGCACAGTATCTGCTTAACATAAGCTGTGCTCAAATATGCTAATCTATATGAAATACATATGAACTATTTTTAGTACAGTTGTATAGTAATAGAAGCTCAGTTGTGCTTTTTGTCTACATAGCATAAGAAGGGCAGCAGTACTTGTACAACTATCTCTTTGGGCTAGAAGTGAACATTGTTGCACTGGATATGTCCATTCTGAACTCACCCCTATATATAACCCCATCTGCGACCCTTTCTTTTACATGAATTTGTTTGCATAGAAGGCAAGCCTGTTTGAGATTTCAGTTGGAACTTGGTGACTTTGTGACATTTTATTAGACAAGTAATTGAAGCACATCTAAGGGTCCTTTCACATCCCTGCTTAATTACAGCAAGTCCTGCTTAAAGTGGAACTCCTGGAATATGATATAGTGGAATATGATAAAGTGGAATATGATATTCTTGGGCATAAGCTTAAATGCCCTTCAGGTTTAACTTGTTTCTCTGTAGAAAGCAAAAATATTTTCAGGAACTGGCAATCTCTACGGAGTCTCCACATGTACAGTCGCAATTCTCTACACTTTGCTGAGGTGCATCAAAGACAGGGAGGTCTTTTAAACCACGTGATCACCATACTTTTGTATAGTATAACTTTAATAAAATGTTATTCACAAAAGCAGAAGACTGAAATGCTTGTAACATGAACACATTGCTCAGGGTTCCCCTACAACAGGCTCTGTTGAAAGGAGTTTGCCCTGGAAATGCATTGCTGTCATCCCGCACATATACCACATGTTACTTGCTGGGTAGACCTGTGTAATAGGGCAATGACGTTTTGAATGACCTGTGTCTGGAGCTGTGTGTTCATGTTACAAGGGTTTTAGTCTTCCAACTTCGTGTGTAATATTTTATGTGTTCAGTCATTAAACTACATGAGCATAGGCGCTTTCTCCCTCTTAATGTGTTCACTTTCAGTAACGTTAGAAGTCTACATGAGTATATATCTGACATGTCACCATATACAGCAACAGCATACTTTTTCAAAAAAGTTCCACCGTCTATCATTAAAAAGCTGTAATTGAACTTCAGTTAGTGACTGTACCTAGGCTGAAATGTTGTCATCAGTCTGTTGTAGGCAGGAGTAAGAATTTCCTCAGTCTTATCTCCCTCGGTGGTTAGACAACCACATTGTAAATTAATAGCAAGTCACAAGGTGAGAGGTTGCAGCAGAGACTGGTCTGTGTTAGACATTTGTGAGCACTGCCAAGAATTACAGAACAAAAGGATTTACATGATTGTGTCATGTGTGTGCCAGCATCCCCCCCCAAAAAAAAAAGTCGAAGAGGCAAATCTAGACAAGCTGTGTGAAAAAACAAAACTACAATGCAGCATCTCTGTTGGCACCATCTTTGTTCATGTATCACTCAGAGTCTGTTGAAGAGCTTTTGCACACCATTTTCTATATAGTTAACAAGTGAGAAACCTGACCATATTACAGTTGTGCGCTTTCATGCATTTTTTGTTCAAACTGTCTTTGTACCCAGGGGTTATTGTGACAGCAGCACATTGATTTTATGGATACATCATGTCTTTCACTCAAAAAGAAAACATTTTTAAATGCATTTTCCCTAGTAACAAACCATACCCGGACATTTCAAAACTGCCTATACCACCGTGACATCCCCCTGGGATAAAACGCATTCAGGGCCACCAGCCCCCACCACATTCCCCCATTTTCGAACAAAACATGCGTAGATTATTTTTTAAATTACAGACTCAAATTAATTTGGAAAGCCAACACTGGTGGGATATATCGTTCCTTGAAAAATATATAGAATTAGGCATTACTCTGAGAGGACTCCGTATTCACAAAACGTGTGACTTTCTGGAGCAAGATTTGGCTTCAAATTGGGACCTCCTGGCGGAGTTTTGCACCAAAAAGTGGATTGAACTTGTTATTATCCAGAGAAAACGCAAATTAGCACATACCACTAGAACAGTACAGGAATTACGAACCACCTTCCAAGACTCTTTTGGGACTTCATGTCTGTTCAATTCCTGGATAGCTAATCTAGAATATAAAACTAATGGGCACGAGCACAATATTATAAAGTCCAAATCCAAGAAACTCCGCAGAGACATTGCAGATTATAACCTCAATAGAGTTTTTAGCTGGAAACAGACATCTCGGCGTCACTCCAAACACCAACCCAAGCCCATTCCACTCCTAGCCATAAACCCAGTACCATCCACCAGAGTGGCCGAACTTATATGGGATGAGGAGTCTCTCCAATTCATTCCCAGTCCAATTTCACTTTTAGCCCTAAATCCAATACCATCCACCAGAGTGGCCAAACTTATATGGAATGATGATTCCCTTCAATTTATTTCTAGATCAATGCCAATTATCATGAAGAAAACAAAGAATAAACTAAGTAAGCCAGTAGCTAAAAAGAGTTCCACTCTCCCCTCTTTACTCACCTACTCAGATGGAGGTATAACCAACACATCCATCCGCATACCTTCCCCCGAAAGGTTAACAGAAAGTACAGATGTTACATTTACAACCACAACAATTCAGAAACAACCCCACGATAATCAAAGAGAAACATCGGAGCTAACTATAGCTCCACAGGAAACTCACATTAGTAACTCTGCTAACTATGAGCTTCCATTTCTTCCAAATACAATAACGCACACTCAACACCAAGAAGTCCCAAACACTTCAATTAATTCTTTTTTAGAGCAGGGACCTCTAATAGCCGCGGCTCGGCCCGGCCAGCCGAGGACGCAGCCTGGAGAGACTTGGGGTTTATTTAGATCTTAGACCATTTAGATTTAATTAAACAGTTAGTCATTACAGGATGCTTAGCATCTAAACAATTTTTTAGGTGGTAGCGCTCTTCTATGTATAATTTTGCCTATCACTCAGAGTCAGCATTTTGGTGACTCTGAGTGATACATGAACAAAGATGGTGCCATTCTTCTGGAAAGCAAAGCAGGTGAAGGCATTGTAGTTTTGTTTTTTCACACAGCTTGTCTAGCTTCGCCTCTTCGACTTTTTTTTTTGTACGTGTTTCATGCCTCACTTTTATACTTAAGTGCTTTTCACACCAGGAAAGTAGCAAATGGCAGACGTATGAAATGACCCTTATTGGAAACACCTGATGTTTGTGCAGTCGTAAACTTGTATATTGCTGTACTTGTCTCAGTGCTGTACCTTGCAGTGTCAAGTTTATCAGTGTGATATAGTTTGCTCGTAACAATTTATTGATAACCACTACAATTTAAACTCATTCAATATCTTATCTGATTTTCTTGCCTTTATTTTCAGGTGTCTAATGGTCAAGTTTCACCACAGTCTGCCACTACACCAAGGATTGAAAGTGCAGCTGAAGCTACAACTACTACCTCATCCAAATCCCCTCCATCACTTAGTCTTCAGGGTCCCATTTGTCCATCTGTCTCCATTCCAGCACCTTTAGAAGAGTTGTCTCCAGATAGCATTGATGCTCATACATTTGATTTTGAGACGATTCCCCATCCACATATTGAGCAATCGCTTAAACAGGGTTCCTTGGACTTAGACTCATTAACGGATAGTCCCGAATCTGACTTTATGTCTGCTGTTAATGAATTTGTTATAGAAGAAAATCCAGTGTCCCCTAATATTAGCGACACACAAAGTCCAGAAATGATGGTGGAGTCCCTTTATTCATCCGTCATAAATGCTATTGACAGCAGGCGTATGCAAAACACAAAAGGTGGTAAACACGACAGTGCCGAAAACATATCTTTGAAAGCTTGTGTGGACAGATGCAAAGTCGTTGCTCAAGAATCGCAAGCCAATTTGCGGAATTTTAGAGAAGAGCTTTGCCAATTAAAAATACTTGTACAAAAGGAGCAGAGTGAATTTGCCAGTGCTATTAAATCTGTTTCTGCAGAGATCCTAAAAATGGTTCAACATGCTAATGCCTCTCTTGAAAACGCATTGAAAGAGAAACATTTTGAGGAATTGCAGCTTTTAGAAAAATCTTATGAAAAGCGACTGCAGCTGTCAAAGGAAGACCTCAATGTAAACGAGGAAGTCATAAAACAGCTGAAAAATGATATTACAGGACTAAAAGAAGATTTGCAAACTAAACAAACGGAGGTTGCTGCTGTCAAAAGTGAAAATGAAACCTTTCTTCACTTACAAAATGAAAGAGATCAGAAAATGATCCATCTGGAAAGTGCCATGAGGGAACAAATGTATGAAATGCAAACGCTTAAAGAGTCCCGAGAAACAACCTTAGAGGACTTAAAGAAACTTCATGCTGAGAACGAAGAAAAACTTAGACTTCTCAAGGAGGAGTTCAAAGTTTTAGAGCAAACACACCTCAAAGAATTAGAAGATCATTTACAACTCAGGCATGCGCAAGAACTTGAAGATGTAAAAGTGGAAAATAAATGCTGCATAGAAAAACTGCAGTTAGAAAATAAACAAAAAGTGGGCCAGTTGCAGGAATCTTCTGCAGCTGTGGTCAAGGATAAAGATTTTCAACTTCAAGAACTAAACCTTAGAATTTCAGAACTTTCTGATATTAGATGTAAATTAGAAGTGGAGTTGGCACTTAAAGAAGGGGAAGTTGATGAAATGAAATTAATAATGGAAGAAAACAAAGCACAGCAGCAGGACACTTTGAATTACCAAGTTGGTGAGGAGACGGAAATACTAAAAAAAGAGATTATTCGCTTAAATAATGTGATAAAAAATCAGAAAGGGGAACATGAACAGGGACTGGAAGAGCTCAAAATATTATTGACAATGGAGAAAGAACAATGTATTTCTCAGATGCTGTATAGTCACGAAGCGCAAACCAAATCATTACAAAGAGACAGTAGTACTTTGACCACTGCCCATCAGCAAGCACTAGAAAGAGAAAGTAGGCTTCGAGAAGAACTAAATGTCTTACAAACTAAATTAGAAGACACTTTGAAAGTACTTGAAACACAAACTGAGCAGCATGAAAAGGCTGTAAAGGAACAGAAAGAGATGTATGAAGCTACTATACAAAAACTTGAAGAAGATCGAGAACAGAAGCTTGAAAAGGAAACCTTGCCACAGAAGTTTACATGTGAAAAAGAAGATGCAGCGCATCTCAGTGTTAAAGACTTTGAGTTGCATATGCAGAATGTTGAAAAAGAACTCTCAGAAAAAGTACAGCTCCTTCAACAACAATTTGGCAAGAGGTAGGAGGCAATCTATATACACTTTACCATGTACCGTAGGTTTGTGAATGAACCAGAGGTGAATGATCCACAGTAGTGGAGTCTCAGGCAGAAATACAAAGGCTGCCATTGCTGACCCTCTTCTGCAGATGCTGGTTGTCTGCACATCTTTGGTTTTGTAAGAAAAGAAAATGTTTGGTAGGGTGGGGGGTTTTAGGCACTCTAAGTGAGTATAAAAACAGAAATGTTTTTATATAAAATGTATACATTTTATTAAATATATGATTAAAAAAAAGTAAATCACAATGTAGAAGAAGAAGAGCAAAAAAGGAGCAGAAACACCTCCAATATCCACCAATGCCCTGAGTATTAATTGGTTTAGACCAAATTAACATAATTAGTTTAGCTAGTTAATACATAAGTATAGTTAATTTGTAGGTCTCAACACTTCAATTGGCTAGACGGCTAATCTGTAGCTATTCGTTGGGGTTTAAATATTGAAGAAACCGAGAGGATTTAGCTTTATAGGCATTTGACACCATCCGTTAGATATGGATTCAGTGTATCGCCATCTGTGGCTAGCTGTGATTAGTTCAACATGATTATATAGCACTCATCGTGGTTTTGGATTCCTGTCCTATTAACGTCGATTGATATTTATCAACCATTAACAAATAGGGTTAACATTGTACATGATTTTTAAAAAATATATATATTTTTTGTATGGTTTCTTAGTTTTGACTCAGGGAGTTGGAGCTGGTGGAATATAGCGACAACGCGTTTCGCGTATCACAACGCTTCTTCATGTCTAAAGGTGGTCTAAATTAAGAATGTAGAACAATCACATAAGTTATCTAATCAGCATCTAATAGATCGTATGAGAAAGTATATATGCGTAATAGACAATAATGCACTCAAAAATCCAAAGTATAAAATCCGCCATTGTTTCCACAAACAAATAACAACAAGCAGAGAGCAGAAAGAAAACAAAAAAACAAAGAAATATTCAAATATATGTATATAGTGGTGCCAGTCTTACCAGTCCCAGGTGAGGCCACCCGATGCCCCATAGGGCAGTATTCAGCAGTTCAGAAGTTTAAAATTTCGCCCAGACAGTAGAATGAATTAGGGTAACAGCGTCTAGGCATGAAAAAGGCCCATATAATGTCAAGCGGCATGATCTACGAAAAAACAGGAGCAAGCAGAGAAAGAGAAAAAGAAAGAAAAAGAAGAGAAAGCCAAAGACATCCCCTAAGTAGATATAGATGTCATACAGGAGGAACTTCCTAGGGCTGAAATTCAAAAAGAAAGAAGGGGAGGTAGAAGAGGAATACCTTCCCTAATACAACCAATCACTTGCCAGAAACAAGAAAAAAGACACCGAAAGAATGTTAGTGTTCAACGAAGCCCAGCAAGCCACCTCATCAGTGCTGCACCTGTGCTCTGAAAATCGTGATTACCAATAGAGTGAATAGCAAGTTTATCAGGTTCATGTGAGGGAAAAAAGGTACCTGTATATTAGATGGATTAGAGGATAGCCAAGGGGCGGCAGCCTGTTTTCAAATCCACTGTGTCCCTTGTGTTCCATTCCAAAAGAGGCCATCGGTGTGTGTCCCTACATGCCTCACCGAACATCTGAATCAACGATGGCCTACGCGGGCGTCTAAATCAGCCTGTGACGTAATGACGTCATGACCCGTCATGTGACCCTCGAGGGACCACACCCCCCAGCGGATTGCGGACCGTCGGAGACTAGTACGTCACCGGTATCCGCCCAGCGGGGGGTTGGGTTTAGGCTGGTCGTCCGAGGACGATGACGCCCATAGTCTGTCTGGAAGAGATCGGGAAATAACGAAGGAAAAGGAGGCCAACTGAATACTTATAAAATACCGGGGTAGAAACGAAGATGGAATATCTCTAACCCCGTTGTGAAGTTACCCGGCATTATGTATTTAAACTGAGTAAGCCCATCGGGATCATCTAGTTCCCTTCCGGAGACCGGCAGGACATAACAAGTAATTGTTGCAGTATATACAGGTGATTGGGATATCATTAACAAAACATCTACAACGTTTATTAAGCACAACTATCATATTATGCAGGTTACAGTATCATGACCTATGGTACCGAGCAGACATCATAACCAAAAGAAAGTTCAAGGAAGGAGAGGCAAACAAAAAGCATAAGACTTATTCACTGTAAGAATCATTTGTAATGGCAACAACTTGAGGTATCAAGGTTACCCCAAAGATCGGGTTTAACATGCTTGAATGTTTATTGCAGCCTTGATTATCCTTTATCTAAGGCTAGGATTGTGCTATAAACAAGAAACATTTTTAACCAATTTTGGCTATAAATGTCTAATTTTTGGATGCAATATTTGATGAGTTGTCTGCTTGATGAACAAAGCTGCAGATTATTGGCATAAATGTGTTTTTCAGATAGTACCAAAGACATATTTTATAAATCGTGTGAGGTTATACTAGTTGGGCTTTTTTTGGCTAATGTACATATTCAGCTATTTCCTTCTGAAACAGAACCAGCTTTTTGTAGACACTTGACAAAAACCAGGCTTTCCTTTGACATAAATACCACAAGTAGACTTTGAGACGTAAAAGGAATAAGAATTGTCGGCAAATCCTATGTTCAGTCATGTTTGCACAATATCTCTTCTTAAGTTCACTGAACACAAACAAACATAATTTTTGCTGAACTTTAATTGTGGGCTAATGTTTTATTTTACATTGATGCCACCTTTTTGCTGTTACCCTCACTGGTAGGGACCCCCCTTCCTATTCTAAAATGTGATGTTAGTAGGTGCATGGGTAGATATATCTGTGTATCACTGGGCTGTAGATCAAGTCATCTCTGAATTTGTGCTTACATTGTCCTTCCTTTTGGAGGGTGGCTACTTTTGTTTCCCATGTTTGTGTTGTAAAGTAGTCACTGCTCCAAGCTCACTCACTTTATAAACTATTACTTCAAAACAAATTACCCTGGGTGTGTTGTAAAGTAGCCACCATTCCAAGCTTGCTCCTGTGATGGACTCCAATCTCAAAACAAATTTATAAACTGAACGTGAGATTGTAGTCCATCATGGGAGCGAGCTTGGAGCGGTGACTACTTTACAACGCACACAGGGACTATGAGGATAAAAGTAGCCACCCTCCAGAAGGAAGGGCAGTGTCGGCACAAATTCAGAGATGATTTGAGGATCTCAAGCTGATTGATACATAAATAAGCTACATTTTTGTTAATAGTTAGGGTGCTTGAATGCATTTTTAAGATTTAACGCCTAAGTCTAATGTCACTTTAAGATTTTGGGTTTACGAACTCTTTAACCCTTTCGCTGCCAAGACCTCCAGAACACCTTTAAACCCTAAAATCAGTATCAGTGCACACAAAAAAAATACTTTTTCTGACTAAATCTAAAAGATAAAACTGTATTGTGTTAATAAATAACAAATATGTGTAAATTTTAAATTCTGCCTTTTTGCGAAACTCAAAAAAAAAATGAAGTAACGCAAAACTGTAAATAAGCAACTTATGTAAAAAAATTGTTTATATGTGTGGGGGGGGTGGTGGGGGGAGAGGGGAGTGAGAGCAGTGGGGATCGGAGGAGAAACAGATCGGAGCTTGGAGCGGCTCCAGACAGGGAGGAGAGGCAGGGTTGCGGTGTCTGGCAGTGACGTCCGGCAGTGACGGAATTTTTGTTAATAACTGTCATCAGCGGCTTTTCAGCCGCTGATGATGGCTATTAATTTACAGAGGTCCGTCAGGGGGACCCTTTTTGTATTAAGTTCATGGTCGCTTTAGTGATCATGAGCTTATAGCAGAATGGTGAAAGCCACCGACGTAAGGCTTACTGACGTGGCCACCTGCAAGCGGTTGTGTTCCGCCGTAAGCCTTATGTCGGTGGTACAAGCATGCATTACTAAACAATTGTCATAGATACTAAACTTTTTCTCTTCCCCTAAAGTATCTGGTAACTGCTTATACCAGAAGCCACAGTGCTATAAATACATTCATAAATGCAATGAGTGAGGGCCACTAATGATAGTAGCAGTGTATCTTATTATGCATCATTAATAGTAAATATGAGAACAAAGGAAGACGCAAAACAATTTAAAACTTTAATCTTTTTCCATCTAACCACATGATGACAACTTTATCTATGGGTCTAAATGGTAGAATCAGGTCATATACATAGTGGCATGATAAATAATTTGTGGTATCACATCGGTACTGGGGTGTGGTGGGAATGTTCACTTGGATTTCCCTAGACACCGTTATTAACCTTCTGACTAGCAACTGAACTTCATTCATGCAGAAGAAACATAATGTCACAGAAAACAAACTGGCTGTTGGCCACAACATTTGGTATACAGTCTGATAATAGATTATTCCGAACTCTAAAATGAGGCAAAGGTCACGACTTGCGAGAAGTGATTCCTTCAAGTTATTGATCACCTCTCTGATTGTGCTTTTCTGGCTTTACTAAGAATACGTTTTATGAATTACAGTGTAATTAGGAGCAGGATTTTTTTTTTTTATTAGGAATCCTAAAATCACTGTTTTGCACTTTCCCTGGAGAGCAGCTCATTTGCAGTTTATTTCCTTTCACTCCCAGAAATTGTGTCTGTTCCCACCTCTTTTACTACATTGTCTTGAGTAACTTACAGCCTGGATTAAGCTAAATTGAACACATTATTTTACAATATTTCATTGTTCTAGCCGCCTTCTCTATGAATGGTAAGGCCTGCACACAAATCATAGACGTATATATGGCATTTATAACCATGTATATGCTGTAGAAAGCTGGTTTATTCACAAACGCGGTACATTTTCTAAAATCATAGAACATATTGTTGTGTCACATGTCAATCATAGGTGCAAATAATGCTTAATGGGGTTGTTCTTTCTGATAAAGTAGGTAATTATATATATGGTTTGAATGTTGTTTTTTTTAACAGTGCTGAATATGTTGGCACCATAGAAAGGACTAACATAGTTAGGGGTGTGCAGAGGCATGTATCGATGTCTCTGATTATCTACAAGTGTGTCATATTTGTTATCTCTGACAAAGTAAGGCTCCCCATATCCCCAAATTGCTGCTTCATGTAAATTTGTTGTAACACCAAAGAGACTGTTAGGTCATTCATGACAATTTTGTGAAATAACTGCTCATATTTGGAAAATATTTGTAACAATTTTAGAATCTTTTTTAACGCATTTCCCAGAAGCTGACCCTGACCTTATATTTCATAGTATGTGAATACAACATTAAATTCAACAGAGAAGTGAAGGGGAGCTATCCAGACTAGGAGTGTTAAAAGTAGTCTAGAGGGATCCTATTATGGATGCACTGAAATTAAACGTTTAGACCGAAACGAAAAATAATATTGTGTGTTTATCCAACTTTTTAAAAATGTTTTACATTATTTTTTTTTACTTTACAGTTAGGGACTTTGGGGAAATATTAGGGGTCTGAAAAGACCCCTGATATTTCCCTTTTAAAATAAAAAAGAGATTGAGGACACGATCTCTTTTTCTGGAGCCCCTGTTATGAATGAACAGGAAGCCTCTATATTGAGTGCTCCTGTCCAATGATAGACTGTGGAGATAGTATCAGTTACTTATCCACAATCATGAATAAACAGGAAGTAATGTAGAGCACTTCCTGTTCATTCATAACTGGGGACACAGTAAGCTTACTTTGTCTTCATTTATGTACAAACACTCAACGATCGGTACTGATCGCTGAGTGTTTGTGCTCCGCTCTCCATCCTGACTGCTCTGCCTGTCATAGGAGGCCGAGCTCCCCTCCTGCACCGCCTTGCTCGGCGTCCTGACAGCTGTCTCCTCCCTGCACTGCCCCACTCAGCCGCCTGACAGCTGCTCTTCTCCCCACCGATGGCAGCAGCTGGATCGGCACCACATATACACTCACTGGCCACTTTATTAGGTACATCTGTTCAACTGTTTGTTATTGCAATGGCACTAACGTATTGCATTTAGGCATGTAGACATGGTCAAGATGATCTGCTGAAGTTCAAACCGAGCAGAATGGGGAAGAAAGGTGATTTAGGAGACTTTGAACGTGGCATGGTTGTTAGTGCAAGACGGGCATCATGCCAGACGGGCATTAGAATTAAGAAGAAAGGTGATTTAAGAGACTTTGAATGTGGCATAGTTGTTTGTGCCAGACAAACATCAGAATGGGGAAGAAAGGTGATTCAAGTGACTTTGAACATGGCATGGTTGTTGTTGCTAGACGGACTTGTCTGAGTATTTCAGCAACTGCTGATCTACTGGGATCTTAACGCACAACCATCTCTAGGGTTCATAGAGTCTTATAAAAGAAAATATCCAGTTAGCAGCAGTTCTATGGGTGAAAATGCCTTATTGATGCCAGACGTCAGAGTAGAATGCCAGACTAGTTCCAGCTGATGAGTTCAAATAGCATCCACAGTCACCAGATCTCAATCCAGTAGAGCACCTTTGGGATGTGGTGGAAAGGGAGAATCGCATCATTGATGTGCAGCTGAAAAATCTGCTGCAACTGCCTGATGCTATTATGTTAATATGGACCAAACTCTCAGGAATGTTTCCAGCATCTTGTTGAATCTAGGCCGCAAAGAATTAACACAGTTCTGACGTCAAAAGGGGGTTAAATCGGTTACTAGCAAGGTGTACCTAATAAAGTGGCCAGTGAGTGTATGTTCTAACTTACTTGAATGTCTTTCATGTGCATTATTGTAGACTCTTGTAGGCTTTGCTTCCTTAGCCACCTTGCTTAGCTCAACCTTCTGATTGGAGCATGAAAGAGAAGCAGCACACTGATGACATTATCCCTACGCTCTTCCCAGCTGTACGTATTCATAATGTTAGACTGATGGCAATTCGCAAAGGGATAGAGTTGTATTTGTCTGTTATCACTGTCCCTCCCTCTGTCATTAGGAATGCTACGCTACAGGGATTACAAAAAGCCAATATTAACACGGATTGAGTTCTGCTACTTGTTGTTTTTTTAATACATAACTAGATTAGAGGAATTTTTATTGTTTGCACTGCTTTAAGGAAAAAAATACTAGGATCACATTACATTTAAAGTATGCATATTGCCTGTCCTTTTGTGAAACAAGTTGAGATTGTTTTAACTCCTGATGCTATGCCTCACCCCTTTTGACAGCTAAATGAAAGAGGAAAGGGCTTAGGGACCCAATTTATTAAGCATATAAATACCACAGCTTTAAGATTATTTTAAAGCATAGAATTGTGCTTTACAAATGTGCCATCCAATGTGCTTCCTTATGACTGTAAAGCTCCATTTATTTTATTGAGTGGGGAAAAAAAGAAAGTACCGGAAGGGGGATATCCCAGTCACATGACCTGCCAATGTCTTGTGCATAGCACTTTACCTGTTCTCCTCCAGTGTTATGCAGGGAAGGATATGTCACGTGCCACACAGTGCAGAAAAAGCAAGAGACCAGACAGGAGATATTGAAGAAAATGCTGTGTGGTGCCCAGTAGGCCACGCAATACATTTCTTGGAGGGGGAAGGGAAAGGTAAATATAAGGCTTTGGTGGTGGTGGGGGGTCAACTTAGAAAGGCGAGTGGTGATGTCTGGTGTTCTTCTGCTCGAGTCTGGTGGTAAGACTGAAACATTGCCATGGAGGTGAGACTAACAATCTGAGCAGACTATGATCTGTGTTCATTGCATACATTCACTATGCTCTATACATCAGCAGCAAGCAGCTCATCACAAGAAAAAAACATGATTGCTGCACTGCTGGAGGTGCTGTGATAGTTTAAATAGAAATTTTTCATGTTTTTATAAAAAAAATTAGGTGGATGGAAATGCAATATGCATGCACATTTATGATAAACAACTCTGTCTGAAGGTTTATTTGTGCGTTAACAATTTTCTCTGTTCTCCCTTTTAAGTCCCCCTGGAGCTACATATAGTTTGATCTCTGAACTCCAGGAAACGCTTCAGCATGGAAAACAGTTATTCGTTGAGCATATTGACCTGCAGGAGAGAAGAAAGGCTGAGGAGCTACAGAGCCTCAGGATATCCCTAATTGCAGAGCAGCAGGTATCATTGTAGCCATAAAGCCAGTTACTTATTTCAAATTGATTGTGACAACTATAAACTAAGTGTTGTTATAGACCAACAAAGCCACTGTAAAAATGTAATATTCATAGATAACATACAATAAAAATACATCACCTGTCTAGTTTAAATAGCAGTTCACAGATTCTGACAGTTTAATGTTTGTCAAACTCAAAAATGTAACCAGATACATCTAGTACAAATTGGATTCATGAGGAGGGAGTTACAAAGAGATGAGCAGCATGATCAGTGTAGTTTATTTAGCCTATTCCCTTATTAGAGCAGGTCCTTGTAAGTATCCTGACAATACTGTTATGATCTTCCCAACTGATCATTCTCACTGTGACTGACGGCGTTCCTTGAGAACTGCTGCGCGTCCACGAATACATGGGCATGCACAGCAGCTCTCTTCCTACCTCCACGTCCCCAAGTCTGTGCCAGCAAATGACAGCGCGTGCATGGAAGGCCGTTTCTCCTCAGTGCCTTCGCCCCGCCTTCCTCTCTCTCCGTCTTGAAAATGTGCAGCAGTTTTATGGAAAAACATGTTCCCCGTAAATCTTAGTTCCCCCTGTCCGTTCAGCTTTTACCATAACCCCGCCCCTTCCTTACAGCTGCTCAGTATTTACATAGCCCCGCCCCCTCTCTGCAAGCTTCGGTGTTCTATGAGAAAGAGACGAATGTCTCCTCTCACATTGTGTGTTCTGATCAATCAGCTTCCCCTAACCCCCCTGTACAGGAAATATCTGACTTGTCTCCACGTCACATGTCACCGCTCTCAGTGTTGTGTTGCTGCAATCTGATATTTCCTGCCACATCCCCATCCTCACTGCTCATCCCCATCCGCACTCCTCATCCCCATCCTCACTCCTCATCCGCACTCCTCATCCCTGCTCCCCATCCTCCCTCCTCATCCCCATCCGCACTCCTCATCCGCACTCCTCACCCCTGCTCCCCATCCACATTGCGCATCCCCATCCGTGCTCCTCATCCCTGCATCTCATCCCCATCCTCACTCCTCATCCCCACTGCTCATCCGCATCCTCACTCCTCATCCCCACCCGCGCTCCTCATCCCCACCCGCGCTCCTCATCCCCATCCGCGCTCCTCATCCCATGGATGGGGATGGGGAGCGTGGATGGGAAGTGCGGATGGGGATGATGAGCGCGGATGGGGATGAGGAGCGCGGATGGGGATGTGACAGGAAATATTAGATCGCAGCAACACAACACTGAGAGCGGTGACATGTGACGGGGAGACAAGTGAGAGATTTCCTGCACGGAGGGGGAGGGGTAAGCTGAACACTCAGAGCAAGCAATGTGAGAGGAGATGTTCGCCTCTTTCTCATAGAACACCGGAGCTTGCAGAGAGGGGGCAGGGCTATGTAAATACTAAGCAGCTGTAAGGAAGGGGCGGGGTTATTGTAATAGCTGAACGGTCAGGGGGAACTAAGATTTATGGGGAACAGGTTTCCTTACAACTGCTGCAAGCATCTGATTACTGAGACAGAGCAGTAGAAGATCGGTTAAGAGAGAGGGAAAGAGAAGGAAGGCTGAGTCAGCTTGCTGCTTCTCTGTTGAGACTCTGCCTCCTGCTCCCACACGTCAGCGTGCACACTCCAGCCGTACACAGTGAGCTTGGCTAGAGAAAGCACGGCCACGGCAGATAGAGTTAGAAAAAAAAAAAGCTGAGGACGGGGCTGCATTCCCTGTTAACGCCCCCTAAGAGGAAAGGAGCATGGCTGCAGGTGGCTGTTTTCTGTGACTTGTGATTAATTTATCTGGGATGTGCTGTGACTTTGGGAAGAAGAAGAATGCTATTAGAGTAAAAGCATGAAGTACACACAGGAACCATGGGGAACAAAAGTACACCCCCTCCAGAAGGAAGGACAGTGTCAGGACAAATTCAGAGATGATTTGAGGATCTACAGCCGAGTGATACACAAATAAGACACATTTTGTTAATAGTTAGGGTACTTTAATGTATTTTTAAGATTTAACTCCTGAGTGCAGTGTCACTTTAAGGAGGACTCCAAAAAAAGTAATCTGTGAAAATGTAATGTTGAATGTTTTATGTATTAAGATTTTTTTTCCCCCCCATAGACGAACTTTAACACCGTTTTGACAAGAGAGAAAGTAAAGAAGGAGAATATAATTTGTGACCTCAGTGAAAAACTAAAGAGTGTTACACTACAGCAAGACAGAGATAAGGGTAATTATAAGGTCCACTTCAGATCTCTTTAATGGAAATGTATAACCTTTGCACAATTCAGATAGAATATGCTATTTTCTAATATTGTATGTTTATTACAGTTTTGTTAATTATTTAGCTGACCCGCTTATAAAAACTACTGAATAACTTATTGCCAAAATAGGTATACAGGGTCCACAAATTGCCTATTTTCAGAAGGTGTCATTTTCTGTCAGAATATTTTCTATTTATTTTCTACACATTTAATGGAAATTATTTGCAGAGGAGATTATTATAGATTATAGCAGCACAAAACATATAGTAGCATGTATGTTTTATATTTAATAAATATTATGGAGAATGTTTTATAGTGAATACCTTGGTTTACATTGGCTGAGCTGAAAAAAAATAAGTATACAGCTACTGTTTTCAACAATTTTAGTTAAGATTTTCAAGGCATTATTAATTAAAGATATTGGCCTATAATTAGAGACCTCCCCAGTATCTTTATTAGGTTTAGGGATCACTGATAAAAAATACCCTATTGAGATCAGAATCTAAACATTCTCCCGCCCTAAGGTTATTAAAGAACATCTCGATTCGAGGCACCAAAACCTCAGAGAATTTCTTATAAAAGGAAATCGGCAAATCATCTGGTCCAGGAGCTGGAGATAGTTTTGCCTGTTTTATTGCCATTTTGATTTCAAGAGCTGTTATTAGTTCTTCCATGATCAATTTATGGTCAGGAGACAGACATGGTAACATTACACTGAGTGGCCAGATTATTATGACCACCCCATCAGTACTTTGTTGGGCCACGAGATGACTTCGTTGGGCCGCCTCGTGACTCCACGAGATGTTGAAAGGTGATGCAAGTAATCTGGCACTGCACTGTTGCCCTTCTGTTGTCTTGTACCAGTCTTGCCACTCTCCGTTCTGCCCTAACATTGACTAGTCGCTGACAGCCAGAATTCGCACGTTCAGACCCAGATTTTCGGCTGACAGTCCAGTCTTTAAACACTTTAACAACAGCTGCTCTTGAACATGTAACAAATTCTGCTGTTTTGCTGATACTCGCTCCATAGCTTGAGCACCAACAATCATCCCGCGTTCAAAGGCTGTTAAATCGCGTTGTTTGCCCATATCTTCAGAAAAAATCACTTCTACTGTCGTGGTAAACAACCTGCTTCCCTATTTATAATGGTCTGGCCCTCTAGCAACTTCAGCGCAAAATTATAGCTAATTTGCCTACAAACGTCAGGTGTTCATAATAATCTGGCCACTCAGTGTATATGTATAGATATGTTCCCCAGAGTACCTGGGGCAGAGCTGGGCAGAGTATTCATTATCAGGCCTTCTGGGACCAGAGTTGCAAGAGAGGCCGCCCTCGTCATCTCAAGCTTCATCAGGTACATGACACCGCCCTTGTCATCTCAAGCTCTATCAGGTACGTGACACAGCAGCATGTGCCCAGGGCACCACTGGCAGGGCCAGTGGCAGATTCGATAGGGGGGAAACAATTAATATTATGACTGGGCTGGGGCGAGTGGCACCGCTCCCTCCCTCCTGCAGGCACACCCACACCTATGTATGTGTCTATATACTTTATATATATATACAGGTGAAACTCGAATAATTAGAATATAGTGCAAAGTTCATTTATTTCACTAATGCAACTTAAAAGGTGAAACTAATATATGAGATAGACTCATTACATGCAAAGCAAGATAGTTCAAGCCGTGATTTGTCAAAACCCCAAGAACCCCAAATCCACAATCTCGTGGTAAACAACCTGCTTCCCTATTTATAATGGTCTGGCCCTCTAACAACTTCAGCGCGAAATTATAGCTAATTTGCCTACAAACGTCAGGTGGTCATAATAATCTAGCCACTCAGTGTATATCATCTAAGAAGGTTCCCACCATATTCCAGGATACAGGGATATGGTCTTGGTAAATATCAAGAAAAAAAGAATGAAATTCAGTAAGTACTATTCGTGGATTAAGGGAGTATGCGCCCATAGAGCAGCATATCTTAGGCATTGAATAAGTCTTAGGCTTGGGAGACAGTTTATTAGCCAGAAGTGTTCCTACTTTATCACCATGCATACAAAATGTATTACCTGACCACTGAATACTTCTCTCAGCCCTTGTAGTTAACATAAGGTTCAATTCTAACCTGGTCTTATCAATGGAAGTTAAACGCTTTAAAGATGGAGTTTGCTTATGAGCTTTAGACAATTTCTGAAGTTCTAAATCCAATTCATTTATGCGTTTATTCGCCCGTTTTTTAATTCTAGTAGCCAATTCAATGAAGCGCCCACGGATTGTTGCCTTATGCGCTGCCCATACCATAGTAACCAACGTATCAGGTGTCTCATTAAGAACAAAATAATCTTCTGAATGTGAATTTATTTCAATTAGTGCCTCAGGATCGCTTAACAGAGATTCATTTAATCCGTTTTAGTGATATCCGTAAGTGTAGGAAGTCCCATCACCACTATCGAGTGATCTGGCCAAACTGCCTCCTTAATTTTAACAAAGGAGACCAAAGGTACATAGGAAACGGAAACAAAAAAGTGATCTATCCTAGTATAGCTTTGGTGAACTTGTGAAAAATCAGTGTAATCTTTACCCAAGGGATTTAATTCCCTCCAAATATCTATTAAGAGTGCGAATTCAATAATTTTACAAGCAAAGTGCCTGCTTTTGGGGAGTGTCTAGTTCTATATACACCTGACCTGTCAATCGCGTGCGCAAATCACTGCGCACTCAAAATGTGGCGATAAAGCACACAACATAGAAACAAAAAATGGAATCTGAGCAGAATTTGGCGCATAATAAGATATTAATGTAACCAACTTGTCCTCTAGATATCCCTTCAGTAGTAAATATCTACCCTCTGGGTCTTTAATCATCATTAAAGAGTGAAAGCTAGTCTGGTTAGAGATACAAATAGCTACTCCCTTAGTTTTGAAAACTGCGTATGCTGCGTGAGTAATGTGTATTCATATACTTAGGTTGATAAATTACAGGGAAATTAGTTTCTTGTAAAAACAAGATCCCCACCCGTAAAGAGTGGTAATATTGGAAAGCCGTCTTCCTCTTTGTGGGATAATTCAATCCCCTAACGTTATGAGATGTAAACACTACAGGTATATTAACTGTCATCATAATGGAATCCCAAGTTTGCGATATACCCTAGCGCGGATCAAACTCCCCCTGACCTCAAGACCTGCATGTCCCAGCTCAATAATGTTACATCTTGAAAATAGAGTGAACCCATCGGAGTCTAAAAGAAAAAGGAACAACAATACAGAAAGACAAAAAATCCAAAAATATAATAACCTATGTAACACAACAAAAATCCTGAGCCGGATCACTTCCGGCCCACCCAATCTTCAAAGGTATTGACACCATGTCAATACTAGATTTGACATCAATCCTGGGAAATCCCGAGAATCAGGTCAAATCAGGGCGCACAACCACCTAGCACGGTCCAGCCCCGCTCCTAAATAGCTATTATAAATCTCATAATATACAGCACCAAACTATGAAAAGAGAAAATCAATTAAGGAAAAAAAAACAACAAAGAAGCTCCAGCATCTTCTACCCAAAAACACCAAAAAAAAAATGAGGAGGAAATTACAATCTTCTATTCGGCTTGTTCCTCAGAGGAGATATTGGACAAGAGGTCAAATGATCGCCCAATCCCCTATAAGGCCCCGTTCACATGTAGCGACATACCTTTACAGCGGCCGGGATAGTGCGACGTTCCAGCGACGATCCAGCGACGGTAGCGCGACCTTCTCCGGCGGGCTCCATAGAAAAAAAGCAAAATCCGCTGAAAAAAGGGTCCGGTAGAAGCGACCGCGACGAGCGACGCGCGACATGGAGTTAAGACAGCTCCATTGAATAGCATTGGCCGGCGACTTCTCGCGATATCGCGCGGCAAAAATGCTCGATATCGCGGCGGAAATCGTGCGACAATTCGCTATATGTGAACGGGGCCTTATCTGAATGCAACACTTCCGAGTCATCAGAGAGCAGTCCCAACTGTCGCAATAATTGTTCTCCTTCAGGGTATGTAGTGATAGAATAGGGCTTATTCCTAAAAGAAAATGTCAACCTAAAAGTGAACGCCCATCTATATTTTATTTGCTTAGATGTAATAATTTTCAGCAAAGGTTTTAAAGAGCGTCTTTTTTGTATTGTAACTGGGGAAATATCTGCAAAGATTTGAATAGAATGTCCCAGAATAAAAAGTTCAGAACGTTTCCTAGAGCTCTGCATAATCTGTTCCTTTATATTATAAAAATGTGGTTTAACTATCACATCTCTGGCGTGCCCAGGTCTCTTAACCATAAGAACTCGATGTATTCTATCCAATTCCAGCTTATTATCTTCCACTTCATGTAGTAAATCTTTCATAAAGAGCTTTACAGTCATGCCTTGTCACCGTTTCAGGAAGCCCCCTAATACAAAAGTTATAACGACGTGATCTGTTCTCCAATTTGTTTAGCCATCTTATTCAGCCCTTGCTCTAACATTCCTGAAAACTGAGTTAGAATAGAAGTTCCCTCCATTGCTCTCACTAAGTCCAGCTCTGCATCAACATTGTTAGGACTAGAGGGGAGAGAGGCCTGTTGAGACAGGAGCATATCCTCCAAAGTCCTTTCAATTCTCGTATCTTCAGTCGGGCAGGCAGGAGTTCCACTACTCTCCCAAGTGCACAACGCTGGTGCTGTCTGCTTCGGGAGCGGGGATTCAGACCCGGCTAGGAGCGGAGCTCACGCAACAAACATCCGGCCCGTCGAGCTCCGCGCATGCACCCCCTACCTTTTCATTTGATTTAAGCTTATTCTATATGGCATATTGGAGAAAGCAACAAACTCTGTTAAAGTGGACCTGAACTCAAAAAGTGAACAATTGCTATGTTAAAGCAAACATCTAGAAATGTTAATTGTACCTTAGAAGTACCCTAAAAAATGTACCACTTGTCTGGAATTCCTCCTGAAAAATAGCAGTCCCTGCTGTGTGATAGAGTGCCTAGGTGTGGGTGTGCCTACAGCCTTATAGATGTATATCTGCTGTGTCAGATCTAAGGCACTGATGCCTCTGACTACCATACTCCGGAGAGTTGGGGAGAGACTTGGTGCTATCACTACTGTGCTGCTCACAATTTTCCATGCTGGAGCATGTAGCGTTAGGATGAAAAGCGCTGTCTCTACTAAGTTGGCTGCCTCCACACAGAGACACAGTGCAGAACAAGGCATAAGTCCGTAATGGGGAAACTGCAGGGAGACCACATGCAACATTGGTAGTGCTATACCCTCTGCTGCTTTTTTTTTATCACAACCAGAGTTCATTTCTTCGTTATTGTATACGTTTAAGGGAGTGCCAGTAGATTATTTTTTTTCTGTCTTGCAAGTGCATTCATTAATGCAATAAATAGGGGGTGCCGGTGCATTGATTGTTCTGTCACACAGGGACGCCTGCACACAGTAGCCCAAGACATTTTCCCGCTGTCCTGTGTGGGTTTTCAATAGGTAAAAATGCAAGTAATTTAAATATAAATCATTGGAATCCACTGGTTAAAAATATGTTTCACTTTGGACTTGATGGACTAATGTCTTTATTCAACCTCAAATACTATGTAACTATGTAATATACCTGTGCATGAAAAAATATAAATGTATTGTTCTTGACACAGATTATCTCTAAGCACTAGTTGCCAATCAATTTTTTGAGATGATTATCAGCAAATCTCCTAAGAGGTTCATGGAGCCCTAGCTAAAATAAGAAATTGAGTAAATGCCAAACGATAGATGTATTAATGCAAAACATATTTTAAATAGAAGGCGGTGCATACAACTTTTATAACTAAAATAAAGCACCAAAAGAAACAAGTTCATGTATGAGAGTCTTTCAAATGTTTAAAGAATTTTTAAACAGACATTCAGTTTAAGAAGAAAAATATATGCAATTGTGACACCATTAAATGCCCTGTTCGGACCCTCATTGAAAATGTACTTTATATTTTGTATATATAAGTTATGAAGCATCAAGATTGCTCATCTTGATTCTGTTGCAGTGAACCACAGCTTCCCCCTATTTTTTACATGTGCATCTTGCATCTCTGTACCTTTTCACTTTTCTTGCCTATTCATTTAAGGTGGACCTACATTTTTAAAGGGGATGGGGAATTGCAGTAAATTTAAGACTCTTGCCTGCCATTTCCGGGTTCATTCACCACCAGGGATATTACTGTATGATGTTCTTTCTGTGTTTTTGTTTCCTCCCTTAACGAAAACATCCTGGTGGATTGGTTGCTGACCAATTTAGTTATAGTTGGTAAATGCAAGATTACGATAATATTACAATTTTTTAAAGCACAGGGATTAATGCAAATAGATTCACTGATTACTAGATATATTCATATAATTTATTTTATATTAATACAATGTTTGATTTTTGTATTGAAGATTTACACTCCTATTCTAGCTTGATTGCTTGCGAGAGCAGGGTTCATACCAGTAATTGCTGATGCTGAATTAGTAATGTCTTCTTTCAGTAATTCATGCCCTTTTCAGCCATTGCTTGGCTCACTTTGGGGAATTATGCTCCTGATCTGTCTATAAGCTAACGGTTTTGCACCACCACATATTTTGTTAACACTTGCTTTAGGTTCTGCAGTCATTTCAGGTGTTTTAAAGTAGCCACCACTTCAAGCTCGCTTCCATGTTGGACTATAAACATACAAATTAGTAAACTAAATGTGAAATTGTAGTCCTTGCTCCCACACTGCAAGGATTAAATGCTTGTTTAACTCTAGGATACCTTGGAAAATAACTTTTACTTGCCTGATCCCTCCAGGCTCCCTCCTACACTCCAGTGGTCATGAGCACAGGGACAGTAGGGACATAGGAGATTGGATGTGGGATCAGGTAAGTATTAACTGCTTTACTTGATACCCTAGCTCTAAACAAGCATTTATCCCTTGCCATGCAGGGGGTACCTTATTTTTTCCCAGAGATGGGCTTTAAACGTAGATTTTACCTCCATTGGTATTTATAATATAATTCAAACCGTGTTCAGTACGTATATAAATATAATTGATCTGTTGCTTTCTAGCATTAATTGAAACTCTATCTGAAGACCGAGCACATTTATTGCAAGAGAAGAAGAAGCTAGAAGAGGACGTTGGCAAGCTTCAGAGTCTTGTGTCTTCAACTCACATGGTTTTTCCTTCAGAGCCTGCTGGAGCTTGTGCACCTGACCCTTCTAGTGAAATAAATAGACCAGCTTATGATGCCACTGTTATAGAGGAGGACAGAATGGAACCCACTTTAGATACCAGCATGACAGCTGTACAGTAAGTGCAATTCATATTTTTGGCTAAACTGTTTGAGTGTATAAACCTTTTACTTTCACCGTCTGTGGTAACCTACTGTGGCAAGGACAATGAGGGCATATTCTAAAAATGGAGCCTAAGACATCTTACACAGTGTGAAATCTTCTATCATTTTTTTTTTGTTTTGTTCAAGTCGCTCTGCAAAAGAACTACTGCAGCTGTAGTAAAAGTAAAAATTCTATATCAAATGTTTACTCTTTGTTTATCTGTAACATAAGAACTTCTATAGACTATAAAATTCTACTCTAGCACACTTATCTGTAAAGGGAATTATGGTAATTTTGATTTGTTGGCAAAAGGTTCACAAGTGAGACTCCTCTAAGCCATATATACCTTATGAAAATAGTTTTTAACATATTTTTCACTAACAGGGTTATTTACAAAAGGGTGAAGAGTTTGGAGAAAGCAGGAGAAGTGAACAATCTAGGCCAAAATAGCTGAACTGGAAAGTGAACTGAATTGGAGAATTCTTCCAAATCAGCTATGTTGTCCGAGATTGTTCACTTCTCCTTCCTTCTCCAAACTCTTCACCCTTTTGTGAGTAACCCTGTAAATGTTTGGGTTTGATAATAAGTTGTGCTAATGTTGTGCAACATAAAAATTGCTACCATTTTATTCTACAGGGTCTTGGCTTTCAGAAAATACATAATGTTTGGGGGTTTTAAGTAATTTTCAGGCCTAAAATGTGGATTATAACATGTAAGGGATTAAGGACAAAGGCCTTTTTTTCATTTTTTTTTGTGGTTTAGATGTGCATGTTTCATATCATTTACACTGCCTCAGAAGAACATTTATCTGCTTTTTAATATCGTAGTTTTGAGCTTTGGTAAATTAAAATATATAGTTTGATGTAATTTTTGGTTCTTGTCCTACAATATTTCCTGTACATTCTCACATCTGAACATGGCATCTACTCAGAACTTCCTCAACAAAAATGGGATCTGATGGTTCAGATTTTAACTTACATAGTTACATAGTCAGGTTGAAAAAAGACACAAGCCCATCGAGTTCAACCTATAGATAACTCGATGGACTTGTGTAAGTTATGTTATAAGTTATGGATTGTAAGTTATGGATGCACACATACAGAAGTCTGGATAGAGTCTAGAGCAGGGGTGCCCGTTAACATTGGATGTAACATTTTTGGCTGCAGCTGCCTGTTTGTTTATACTGTTTTGAAAACATAAAGAAACTTAATAGTCATTTAACATGTTATGTTTCTTCTAGAGATACCATTTTATCTGAAGAAAAACAGAAGATATTGCTGTTAGAGAGAGTAAGTAGCTGTCTTATACTCCATTATTAACTGATTGTAGCACTTCAGATGATGTGTAGATTAAGACTTTTAGAGCCTAGTCACACCACTGCATTGCAGTAATACACATTGCAAACACTGATATGCTTCAGTGCCATGCATTTTGAATACCACCACATCACACTTGCAACACAATGCGCTGTAATACACTACCAATAAGTGTGGTGTGCTGTGGTACAAAAATACTGCAAGTCTGGTTTTAGGTCCATTGTGATGCATTAGGCAGCCCATTTAAATGAATGGGATGCCTTAGGCTGCGTTCACACATTAGCGGTTTTACATGTGTATTCGTATGCACAGAAATGCGCTGCACTTATAGTAATACATTCAAATGCATATTGTTCACACTTGCGCGTGAGCTGGGCTATAGAAATTAATCCACGCGTATGTTTAAAGTTGCACGTTTTGATGCCGTGCAGTTTTCCCGCTATTAATTACCATTACTTGTTATGTTTCCTATAAAATGTTGGGGTTTATGTGCAATTAGCTTGTATTTGAGTTCCTTGTAAGTTGTTGCAAAGTTGCTTTTGCATTCTTATTGACTTGTATGTGGAAAGCAAGCAAACAGAAGCCTGTCTTTAAAAATCCTTCTAAATTCCAGTTTATTTACTTTAACTGCTTAACAGTTTGAATTCCTTTCTTCATTATTTTGTATTCAGACGCTGCAATTGAAAGAAGAAGAAAATAAACGACTGAATCAGAGGCTGGTAAGGAATTATTGTTTGTTATAATGCATACGCATTTGAGCAACAGATCTATGGTATCTCTCACCCTAGTATGACTAATTTAAAATGAGCTTGTTTGCTGTCCTCTGAATGTGACCAAAGTTTCTAAATTCACCAACATTTCTCACCAATTCCATATAAATGTGACTTTAATTCCCTTTTTGCTTGGATCACTTTACTTGGCTGTGACTGTTGTAGTGACAACCGACTTGAAAAAGTACTTTTCTTCCCCTCAGAAACTGAAACAACTGTTGCCAGAGTCAACAATTACAGTGTTATTCACAAAAGGGGGAAGAGTTTGGAGAAGGCAGGAGAAGTGAACTATCTAGGCCAAAATAGCTGATTTGGAAAAATCAATTACAGGGTTATTCACAAAAGGGGGAAGAGTTTGGAGAAGGCAGGAGAAGTGAACTATCTAGGCCAAAATAGCTGATTTGGAAAAATTCTCCAATTCAACTCACTTTCTAAATCAGCTATGTTGTCCTAGATTGTTCCCTTCTCCTGCCTTCCCCAAACTCTTCACCCATTTGCGAATAACCCTGTTAGTTTTAAGATATTTTTAAATGATACATTGAATAATAGTCATTTTCCAATGTGAGAGGAAATTAATCTAGGCATTTTTTTGCAACATCCCCACCTTTCTCACCTTACCCACAACTTACTTTTTTTATCATGTTAATTTGCTATATTTTGCTCATATACCCTTTAAAATGCCACTGCCATTTCTTTTCCTCACAAACTTAAAATCTTATTTCCATAAGCTTGCAACAAATTACAGTATAAACATCTTAGACCAATAGTTCTATTTATGTCTTTTATTTTCTCCAAAGGAGAGCTAATGTGCTTAAAACAACATGCATGTTGAATAAAAGGCTTTTTATTTCTAGATGTATGCAAGTGTGGATTTGCAGCCGATGACGGGGGGAAATGGGCATGATTTTGTGTGTCTGTTGGCCCTATTTTGGATTTGTTAGGACAGAATATTGTCATAAAAAGACAGTGCAATACTTAGTAATGTTAAGCACCATTCTCATTTTCAGATGTTACTCCATTTTTCAGACTAGTTTGATATTTATAGGCACCCCTAAGCATAAATATGCATGCTAAGGGGATCCAGTGTGCATGTTTATGGAAAGCTATTGCACAAAAAGATATATTTTGGTTGGATTGTGCCTCAAGTTTTAACTGCTATTTGACATCTATGGAAAGCTTCAGTGGAAATATATTGGCTTAGTGGTTAAAGCCAAAGACATCCAGGCACTAGCATTTTCAGAAGAAATGCTGGTTTATTTAAAGGCAGAACTGCAAGGAACTCGTCTTGTAACAGACACTGACACCATATAAAGAGCTCTCTCTGCTGGGGAAGTAACTGTCTACATCACCCCAGCAGGCAAAGCTCCAGGACTGTAACTAATGGGGATGATGCACAAACTGGGGTTCCATTTTAACAAAGTATAACTATATAATGGGCAGTCCAGAAATCTGCATCCTGCGCTAACTTTATACTTCTTGAAATTGGGCGAAAATAAAAATGAGGAAACTGCTCATTAGCCACTCAAAGAAATAATACATTTCTTTGTGATTTTATACATTGCAATGCAGCTAATATCCTGGTTGAACTATTCCCACTACCATGCAGATCAAACCACAAGCACATTCATCTGCACTAAGATGTTCAAAGTTGATTTACCTGCCTTGCTTACATTTGTCAGAAAGGGAGATTTGGACTTTGAGTCTTCACTCATCCTTAACACATGCTTAAAAAAATTCTAAGAAATAAAGGCTCCTAAAAGAAATGACAGTTAATTCACTAGAAGATTTTTTTCAATATGCCTGACAGCACTCTGCTTCTCCGTTACAACATAATGTTCTAAAAATAATTGACTTGGCTAAAATAAATGTCTTTTTTAACCATAAAAATTTGGCATTGTTTAAACAGGTTATATGCACTAATAAAACAGTCCTTAAATGTAATGGAAGACACAGTCATATATGGTATTGGGGTCAGGGTAAAGGCTATTATTCAGAGCTCTGATGGCATAATGTAGCAGTGTAGTGTAAGCATCATTTTCCAGTCTTGTTGGAAGCAAATATTCTTATAGTTTCTTTGCACTAACTTGTTTTATACATTCATATATAAAAAGGTGTCAGTTTAAATATAGAGAAATAAGTCTATAAAGTGTAAACTATGAATGAAAAGTACACTCCAGTCAAAACTGGGTAATTTTGTAAACCTTAAAATGCATATAGGGAATACAGCCTAACTACTGAGGGTTACTGCTTTTTATCTAGAACACTAGGCCACCCCTAGTAAACATTTATTTCAATTTATTATTACAGTGTTTAGCTTAGTCATATTTGATAGGGATGCACCGATACCATTTTTTCCAGACCAAGTACGAGTACCAATACTTTTCCTTAAAACGAACCTTTAACCATATCTTTAAAATAACAACAAGGCACCTTTAGAAATGTTTAGTAATGACAATCTACAAACGCATACTTCTAGATAATTCACGGCTTTGTATTCTTTGCATACCTTATTTCTCTTCTCTTCCCCAGTCTTCTGACAGTGGCCATGTTTACTAAGAGCAGATTACTAGCTCTCCTTTTACTTCCTGGATTTCTGGCACATGTAACTAGAACATGTGAGAAAAAAATTCTGTTTAGTAACCATCTCTTAACAGTGTCCTCTCCTTTGAGAACACTGCTACCATTTTTTTGAACTAGAACATGTGACCATGCAGATCAGATCTCAGGAGAGGAAAATGCCTTTCTCTGAGATCTCATGAAATTACAGATGAAATTTTACAGAACATGTTTTTAAATAAATAAAAAAAAAAAAAACACTGTCCAGACTGGTACCTGGTTGTTCACTTTGAGGCCTTTTGATCTGGTTCCTTAGGTACCTAAAATGCGGCTGCCTCTTAAGAAATGTTTTGCAGTTCCAGTAGAACCACTGCTAATGTCTGCATGTGAGAAGAGTCAATTTTTATACCTAGAAGAAGAAAAAACAAAACAATATTGATGAATACGCAAGCAGCATACTACCCTGCCTGTGCATTAAGAAATATGAGCACTTTTAAATTAAAAAACAATTACAACAAAAGGGAAAGAACTGATGTAAAAAAACATAGAAAATGAATAAATAAAAAAAATATTATTAATGACTGTAGTCTCTTAGTTTTAGAAATTTAGATTAAATAGATCACTTCTCCCCAACATTTAACCTTTTTTTTATTTTATTAGGAGCAAATTAAAGAGCATTTTATGAATTTAATAGCACAAATGAATAATTACCTTGTATCGAGTAAAGTAGCGATGCAGTAAAGTGTGTTTTCTTTGTGTCAGAGAATGCAGGGTCTCAGGAGGGGACTGGAAGGTCTGGCGGGAGCGATGTATGCAGCGAGGTCCCCAGGAAGCGCAAGACCTTTACGGCAGCTGCTTAAGTTAAAAAATAATTAAAGCGCCAGTATCTGTGTTTAGTATCGGGACATCATCATGCAAATGCCCAGTATTGGCACTGATACCGGTTTAGTGCATCTCGAAATTATGATGTTACAGTCTCATTTTTACACACTCTTCATTTTTTTGAAATTGTATTGAATAAGGAGATTAGTGGATAATGTAGATAAATCAGATCACTTTTCATTCATACTTAACAAGCTAAACTCCCAAGCCATTTTCACTTTTCAGCTATGCCTATTTTTTCAGCTGTAACTTTATGATACAAAAGTGAAACATATATACTACAAAAAAAACGAATTAAAAATGCAGCAAAACATATTTGTATGAACAACATCAATTAAAAAATTATTGTAAAAAAACTAGCTGAAAACAGCAGGGAGAGGAAGTTATTTAGGTCTAGTTATAGATAAGGGGTTAGTCAGGGGTTAACTTGGAAATTTTTGGTTGGTTTACTTAAGTATTAGTGCATGCTCCACTTTAAAAAAAAAAAAATTAACACGTATTGAAAAGAATGTTTGCATCAAGCTAATCTTGTATACATGTTAACATGAAAACATTAATACCTACAGTCTGTTGTTCTAGAAACCTTAAATGATAAAATGGGATAGGTTTTTCCTATCCCAAGTCTTCCTTGCTAGCTCTAACACTGACAGGGGGAGGAAGTTGAAAAACCAGGTGTGTAAAGGAAACAGAGCTACCATAAAAAGTAAGTTTGGTACACTAAGTAGGCTTTCTGACTTGCCCATGTGCATTGTTTCCTGGATTAGCAGGCCACTGACCTCAGTTAAATTAAATAAAAATAGCATGCCACAATGATTATTAGATCTAGCAAATTCAAATATGCTTGTTTATATTCACACAGCATACCAAAAATAGTTTAAAAAATATGTTACCTTTTAGATGTTTTGTTGCAACAGGCAAAATGGCTGATTCCAGGGTTTTCTGAGCACCTTTACAGTGATGTGCTTATAGAAAAACTTTTTTCTAAAATGAGGATTGTGTTTCTCTCATTAACTTCATTAACATTTGAATGCAGAGGCCAGGGTTGTAATCCTTTAACTCACATGTGTCAAACTCAAGGCCCAGGGGCCGAATCCGGCCCACCAGGCCATTTCCTAGACTTCTACGTTCAGATCTAGGTATTAAGTTATTACTAAAACCAGTGATAATCGAATGCAGAGGCAATTATGATACAGATTAGATACATTTATATAGTCTTACAGGCCCTTTGAGGGCAACCATAATGTTGATGCGGCCCACTATTAAATTGAGTTTGACACACCTGCTTTAACCCATCAGCCCTTACAGCTCCTCATAACATTGCAAAGAAGGAGAAGCGAGTAGAAATTGTATCGCTTAAGAAGCCAAGAAACCCTAACCCAAGTAAAATGAATGGGAACATGCAACAAATATAAAATAGGTGCTATCTCAATTTGGCTGCAAAAGTGGAAATACACTTTAACCCTATTGCTGCCACCGACGTATGGCATACGGCGGAAAACAATTGTTTCCAG